TGGAGGGAAGCCAGTGACCCCAGTGCCTTCGGGGTTCACTGTGGAGCACTGTGCTGATGAGGAGGTGGTGGGTGAGAGCGAGAGGAAGCTATTTCACACCATGGTTGGGGTACTCAACTATGCGGCTAACCACACGTGGCCTGACATTTCATTTGCTACATCCAGGCTTGCCAGTGTGGTTTCACCCCCCAGTCAGGAGGAGCTGGAAGCGTCGAAGAGGTTGGTTTGCTATGTGGGTGCTATAGCATTAGTGAGTTTGGAGTACAGCCCTGTGAGACAAAGGCTGCAGTGGGGTGCAGCTGATTTGAACAAGGGGGAGATGCTCTTGACTTGCTACACCGACGCTAGCTTCAACTCTGTGAAGGTGGATGGCACCAGCATTGGAGGTTATGTGTGCCTGTTTGGAGGTGGTGCAATGAGCTGGTGTAGCAAGAAGCACAATGAGGTGGGGCTGTCCTCGTGTGAGACAGAGTACATGGCCGTTTATCATGGGGCAAAAGAGGTGGTGTGGCTGAGGCGTTTGTTGGGGGAGATCGGGTTTGAACAGAAGGACCCGATAGTCATCTTCTGTGACAATGAGTCGGCTGTGAAGCTTGCCAAGAACGCTTGCCTTCATGGGCTGACGAAGCACATCGGGCCTAAGTGGCACTGGATGAGGAGGCTCCTGGACAAGGAATTGTGGTTGGAGATAGTGAAGACCCAGCAGCAGGCGGCTGATATCTTCACAAAGTGCCTGGCTGAACGTGAGCATTGGAAGGGCATGAAACTTGCTGGAATGAGCGTGCATTGAGAGTGCATGCATGAGCTGAGGCATGTAGGGTGATGGTTGGCAGACAGAGGGGAGTTTGTTATGTGATGCTATCATTTGCATTCACATATGTCTGCCTCCCATCATAAGTTCGTGCGCTGCATGCGTCGTGTGAGCGTGTGCAAGAATTTGTGTTTGATGTGGTTTGGATTTTCTGAGTGTGTGTGAATGTTATTCTGTTTGAGCAGATATCTGAAGTTACTCCTCTTCTCAAGAGCTTTCCGATGAACCAAGGATCGCTTCAAGCGGAGCAAGAACGGGAAATATGTGATCGTTCGAAGCTTTGATTGTGATGCGGCAACTATGGGAATTTGCGGAGTGACTCAATATGGGGTATAGACTTTTGGGGGTTGGGGAATTTCGTCACTCTACTGTAGTTTGCTGTCAAGTGGCTGGGAGAAGCCAAACTAGGTTGGCAAGTGTGGCCAAGTTGGGTGAGGTGGATGGCATGGGTTGGGAAAGTGACAAATGCAAAGTTGGGGTGCCTATAGGGAGGAGAATTGTGTGCTTATGGGTTTCCTTGGTTGGGAACTCCCTTGGAACCTTCCCTCTCGTCCTCCTCATCCTCTCCTACCTGGTTCTTGCTACTCTTACTCTCTTGTCTGGATCATGGGAGACTGTTGTTATTAAGTTAAGTTTCTATGGCAGCGTACCCCCCGGTGCACCGATATTCGTAACTCCAGTTTTACTTGATCTATTTATACGATTTATATTTGGATTTCTAGCCACGGTCTAGAGCTACAACATATCTGAAATTGGTGACGTTTAAACTGTGCAATTTTCATCGACGGCGTTTCATGTGAGCCTCCGCATCGAAGTCGCTAAAGCACAAGGTCGGGCAATTCAGGTTCACTCGTACTCCTGGGTAGTGAGCCTAAAAACGGTCGGCCCATCGCGAAACGGTTGTATTTCATCCGTATACTTGCATGGATGCCAATTGGACAACGCTTTCCACGCATTGCGTCCGGCAGCACCACGTGGTGGGATTTCCCAATGAGCCGTAGCTCCAATTGCATGCGCTAGTACGCAGGCACCCATGCCATGCTCGCCGCTATGAGAGTAATGCTTGTACGCATCTGGTTTGCGGATATGTAGCCTTGCGTGCTTGAAATCCACGCGCGTATCGGGTGCGCCTGTGAATTTGTAAGGCTCTCTATCCAGCTGCAAAACGAAGGTCATTTCGAAAGGCATTATTGAACTCGTCAAAGTAGTACTACTTATAGGTAGAGTACCACAAGCATTGGAATCAACAGATGACGACTGCTGGAGGCATGGACTTACCACCCATCTTTCAGAGTGCGAATTCCAACAAATAACGGCGATAGTCCATTGAATGTGGACTGTCGCTTACAAGGTCACCGTCCCCCTTTGCTGCGAGGTTTATGGTGCGGTAACCCAATGCAGCCAATGCTCGGAAGGCAATAGCATGTTCAAGACCCGTATGGCAGCGTGGCACTAGCACTATGGTGGATTTCATATATCAGAACAACTATAGCTTACGACCCCTATTCACGACTATTGCCTAAATTTCCTTGAAGGTGAGATGGAATATCCTTGCTTGAAGCATCATTTTAATGATTATATTAGTCTGACAATACAGCGTGACAAGCATGGGGCGTGTGACAGCTTGGCAAACGGCCAACGCATGTTTGCAGATATAGTAACACCTATTTGACACGATGCAGGGGTACGACCACATAGCGCATATAGCTGTTACGTGCAGACTACACGTAGATGGCGCATCATGGTGACTTGGCGGGATATCCAACGATGGCAAATGGATGGCAGAACATCCGACGACATTTTCGAGGAACTGACGCAGACTCTGGCAAACTAATCTTAGACCGTAAGACAACATGAGCCATCTCACCTCTCATCCGGCCTCTATTAAAGAGGCAACTAGAATGCATGTGTTATGTGGTGTGAAGCGCAGGCGTCCTGGGAGCGGCCGAAATGCCGCCAATCAGTTTCCTTATTGCGTGCGCATGGTGTCTCCGCGTTTTTCGGCAACGGGCGCTGTTGGTGACGCAAGAGCTTCACAACCACGAGTGCTGCAGGATTCGAACACATCGCTTACAGTTCGCTTTCGTGTCCAGGGCATTTCGTCGCACCTCCAATGCATGGCGCGGTGGCCACGCTAGCGAGGACACCGCCAACAAAGCACTTCCAGGCGCACCGTCGTCCGATGGCGAGTCACACCAGGTGCAAAATGCTTTACGGAATGGGGATGTGAGTGTTAATCGCTAGTAATGAGTCTTGATTTTGTATTGTTTATGTGTTTTGCAGACTCCGCAGGCCGAAGGTGAAACTTCAGCTTCGCATGATGGGCCAACACCTGATTCATCAGTAGACGACACCAGCAGTACTAAAGGGAGCGACACATCTACAAGCCACGATGAGGAGCAACTCTTCTAGGAGGCCATGAAGGTCGCCCTGGCAGATCTGATACTTGCGTCGCACACGTGATTAGTGCATTTATGCGCACAATTTGACCATGTCCTGGTTCGGTCAGCCTGGGCTGGCGGGCGAAACCCTACTCACGGCTGTTTGTTGTTGCCCTCTATGCATCTCTGTTGCCTTGCAGCTAAGGACCCGTGGGGAGTCAACAGGGTCATTTGGCCTCGTCTGTTCTCCTACATCGCCGATTGTCCAGAGACCTGCAAGGCCTCTTCTACTCGGCAGCTAGGCAGCACCATGCCTTGCTCTGTTTGCTATGTGGAGCGCGGACAGCTGAGGAACATGAGTGCTCCACTGGCCCTCGAGAGGACTGTTGACCAGCTGGGTGATCCTACCCGGGCGCAAGAGTATGCCACGGTGGCAGTCGAGGTGAGTGATGTGATGTCCCTGGCGATTGAACTCACCTGCAAGTGTGGTTCCCCCATAATGCAGTCAATCCTCAATATATCCACTCCTTGTCTGTACTGCCATGCAGTCTTTCCTGTGGGCATGGAACTTCTCCAAAACGCTGTGGAGTAACACCTATCTGTTGTTCATACCTGACATCCTGCACATCCTTTACTTCGGCTTCTATATGTACCTCAGGACTGCGTTTCGTGGAGAAGGCGACACGCAAGCAGCCATCACGGACTGGTATACATGGGACTCAATGGGTGGTGATATGATGGCTGTTTCTGCACTTGCATCCTCGCACTTTCGGTTGCCCTAATCACTTTGTGAGCTGTTGATTTGCCAGGCAACCATCACAATGGGTTCGCACATCCTTGTTTAACTTTGCATCCCATGCCTTGTTCTACCACCATATACAGGCGCATAATTGCCTTGTACCCAGGTGCAAGGCAGGCCGGCGTGTTAGTACCCAGCACCGACAGCTACTGGATGTCTGGCGCCAACTTTGCTGCATTGAAGAACGTGGCAGTCATGCTCGTATGCCGTGCAGCTATCCCTAATATTTGTATGCCTGTCAAGAAGCCGTACTGGTACCACACTGGGCGACGGCATGCAACCTTCCTAACCCACTGTGTATGTGCATCTATGCTTTGTTCCACCAAGTCTCTCCTTTCGTGCTGGAGAACGAGGGGACCATCGTGAGTCGACGCACGCTGCTGCAGGTCATTGAGTGGCATGAGACCTATGTCACTGCCCCGCTTCACATTGACGCTTCGCTGCGGACATTCGACGAGGCAACACGCAGGTAAACCATGCCGTAGCAATCCTATGCAAGTAGGACGCGTGGGATGCATCCTGCACCAGCCATCTTCACTTGCAGGCGCTGCTCACTCTACGTGTTTGGCGACTCTGTGTTGACGTACTCTGCATATGCCATGTTGCATACGCCTTTCGTCCCAACCGAAACAGCCTGGTGTAACTCGTGGAGAGCACCTTTCCAAGGGAGGCCGCTGGATGGAACCTGCCAGATGCGATCACGCGCGGCGGCCTGCCCTGCTAGTACTCGGCCGCAGTGTACGAGAATGCTCACATCTGCACATGCACCGCCCCCTACGGGGCTTCAAACCGAAGGCAGCACCTTCTAACCATCGCTGGCCACAACCTGACCACAGCAATGCTTGGGCGGATCCCGTCCAATCTTCCGCCGCCGCGCACGTACAACATAGCCATTACCAGGGTGAGTGCGAGATCGGGCCGTATGCTAGCCTGTTAGGTATGCCTGATCAATCGGTCAATGGTCAAAAACATGGGTTTGATGGTCGTGGGGAAGATGCTTGAGCAGCCCATGCGTGGTTTTTGTCAGCTTGTGCCCATACAGGCCACGGAGGCTGGAGGCCCGGTGCTTAACCGACGGCGCGTGCTGATGCGGGGCCCCAGATATGCACCAATTGGCCCGCTGGACTTGTACGGCGCCCTTGATGCAGCCTTGGAGGGCGGCCTCGGTCCTTATGAGGTCGTGATGCGCAGCAGCGGCTTCCTGCCCTTCCTTGTGTGGGTAGGTATGCAGTGAACCAAGCGCCGCTGTTAGCTGCTCCCTTTACTCTTTGCAGCATGTAAACCAGGTGCTGTCCTAAACCACGTAGCATGCGCACCCCATATCAACCCCAGTGGTCTCGAATTCAAAATCATCGTGGTTAGGTTTTTTTACCCATGCATGGTTTACGTCTCTCCCTTTCTATATGCAGGTCCACTCCGCGCTCGCGATCCCCTCCCGCATCCTCAACGTGACCCTTCTCAAGCAGCACTATGCCCGTGCAATAATCACCCATCACGGTGGGCAAGCGTTCTCCTTCGTGGAGTTCTGTGACGCGCATGGCGCGCTGCACCATGGCCGCCTCTACCTTCTGCTCACCACAGACATCACGGACGAGGATGTGGAGGCCAGCGACATCCCTCTGGCCTTCATCCGCTGGTTTTCGCCCATCCAGATGGATGAGTGCACCGGCTTCATGGCCATGAGGCCAGAGACGGGTGCATATGGTTATGCTATTGTAGCCGTGGGCTTTGTGCGTTGTACGGTCCACATGGTCCAGTCGTTCATCGATCGTGGACGCTGGTTCTTGAACAAGACCAAGCTCTCAGGTTTCTTGATAATATCCTGTAGGCCGGTTGCCATGTGCTTCTCGCAAGACCAAGCAAGGGTGGTCCTGCTTTGGAATCCTGGACCCTGCAGTGATGGACAAAGAGTGGCGAGAACTGCAACTCTGCCTTGTGCAACACTAGCGCAATAGCGTGTTGTTTTCATGGTAGCACCCTTCCTCTTGCTGTTTTGCAACCTGAGCAAGTGCCTGACCAGGTGGGGCCTTCACCTCGGCTGTCGGAGGAGAGCAAGGGCTGGGAGCTCCTCGACCTCACCAACAACAGGGTGGTCACCACGTCGGACGAAACCATGTCGCTAGAGTTGTGGAAGTCGGAGCACGGGCCGGCGTCGGGGCGGACGCTGATCAACCCGCCGATCGACAACTCACCGGCGACGCTCGCTCTGCTCGCCAAGGTCGGAGGGCTTGCTGATGAGGACGCCGAGGTCGTCCACCCCCCCTCCCCTGCCCCATCCCCTTGTAGCCGACCTGCGTCAGCTGACATCGACGTCGGCCAGCGGCGATGAGGGGAGCAGTGGGACGTCGTCTGTGGCGCCGGCCAAGAACATCGCCGGTGGCCAACGTGACGTTCAGCATGTCAGCGTGGGAGTGAAGTTGACGCCGACAGGGGACCGACAGGCAAGGAGGTGCAGCCGACTTTGGTGGAGCCGGCGAAGGAGGCATCAAAAGGGAAGCCGCCGACAGGGGAGCAGGCAGAAGCGAAGCCGACCATGCAGCAGTCAGCGACCAGGCAGTCGGCAGGGGAGCCGACCGTAGGGGAGAAGTCAGCAGGGAAGCCGACTATGGTGCAGCAGGACCCTGAGGGCAGCAACGCCGGTGACGAAGGAGGGGACGCCAACTGACAGCGACGTAGTGGAGGTCCAGCCTGGACCGCGGCAGTCAGGCCGAATTCAGAGGCCGCCCAATTTCAACGGCTGCCTTCACCACGGTATACGACGAGGTCGATGATGACCTGCTGTACGACGATGCCGAGGAGGATGAAGACCTGCCGGAACTCGACCTTGACATGCACGCCGACCCCGAGCACCACTGGGACATCTCCATGATGATGGTGAAGGAGGCGTTGGCGAGCTGGAAGGGCAAAGCGGTGAAGGCCGCCACGGAAGAAGAGATCTGCAGCCTCATCGGCATTGGCACTTGGGAGCTGGTCGAACGCCCACCCGGGGTTAACATCATGAAGAACCGGTTGGTGCTGACGACGAAGTACCACATCGACGACACCGTCGAGCGCGAGAAGGCTAGGCTGGTCGTGAAGGGCTTCACGCAGGTGTATGGCGCCGACTACTATGAGACGTACGCGCCGGTGAGCAGCTACGTCACGCTGAGGATTTTCCTCAGCATCGTCGATGTCCTCGACCTCAACCTGATGAAGAACCGGACTAATTCAACAACGGGACGGGCCGGGTGTGCAAGCTGCTGAAGAGCCTCTACTGGTTGAAGCAGTCACCGCTGCTGTGGTACAGGGCTCTCGACGGTGCACTGCTAGGCGCTGGATGAAAGAAAACCCAGATCGATACGGCGCTCTACTTCAAGGTTGGGGGGGATGGCGTGGCCTACTAGGTGCTCGTCTACGTCGACAACCTGCTTGCAGCCAGCAGCAGTGCAGCGATGCTGAGGGACCTGAAGGAGCTGCTGGAGGCTGCCTTCGAGCTGCGGGAGATCTCGCCGGTGCAGAAGTACCTCGGGCTGGAGATTGTTCGCAACAGGCCGGCAAGGAAACTGTGGCTGCACCAGCAGCGCTACGCCGACAAGTTGCGTAGACGGTTCATCGATGAGAAGCAGACCGACCGTACCTCGAAGACGCCAATCTCGGTCGACGCCTACGCCGATCTTATGTTCGACAACGAGGAGGCACAGGAGCGACATGAGGAGGAGTACCGGCAGAAGGTCGGCTCGCTGCAGTTCGCGGCGACGACGACGAGGCCGGGCATCGCCTTTGCCTGCAGCAAGCTGGGGAGCGGCCTCATGGTGAGGAGCGACCAGCACTGGCGCGAGGTCGACCGCTGTCTCGCCTACCTCGCCAACACTCGTGACACCGCCCTGGAGTTTGGCGGTGGACCAGAGTCGCTGAAGTTGGTCGGATACGTGGATGCCGACGACGCCGGCGACAAGCAGAACCGGACGAGCATGGGCGGCTACGTGTTCGTCTACGGAGGGGCCGCGGTCTCCTGGTCGAACCAGCGCATCAAGTGCGGGACCCTGTCGTCGACCGAATCGGAGTACGTGGCGGCAACCGAAGCCAGCAAGGAAGGTGCCATGCACACTTGCAAGGCTGGTGCGGTGACCGACGTGCTGTGTGTTGGGTGCACGCCGACGAGCTATTCTCCGAGTTGTGCTGCCGTGTGGGCTGGGGGCCCAAGCGTGAACGCGGTAGGGGAGTGTCAACGGGAGTTGTGTTTGGCCCCGTCCTCGCTTGGGCTGTGCCGACTTCGTGATCGGGTGCGAGCGGTGTAGCCGACCTGCAGCAGTGGGTGAGCTGGTCGACGGGGCTGGTTGACCTGCATGGGGGCCACTACAAGGGCACCGACTTCGGGAGATCGACTTGGGAGGTCGACCTGTGGAGGGCGTCGACTTGGTGATGCCGACTTAGGGAAGCCAACTTGGGTGGTCGGCTGACAGCTGTGCTGGTCGACTTGGGACTGGGCGACCAGGAGTGTGGTCGACCTGGAGCTGGTCGACCAGGGATGTGGTCCACCTGGTGTGGTCGTCTGTAGGTGGTCGTCGACTTGGGTGGTCGACGAGCACAAGGAGAAGGAGCCGGTCGACGGGGTTGCCATATTGACCAGGTTACCAGGGCGACGAGGTTCTGTGGAGGAGTGTGACGGTCGCCCAGGCGGTTTTGGCAAGGCTGACCTCGGTGGTGGTATCCTGAGGTCGACATGGCTGATCAGGTGCAGTCGTCAGCACGATGACAATTCGGCGTGTGCGCTGTGCAGGTGACGAGGCACAGCACGCCAATTATTTGCGGGCACCTGCAAAGCAGGTGTGCTGCTATCCTACAGATGCAACGCTGTGCAGCCAACTTGCTGCAACGTTGGCACGCCGTCGACATGCATTGTTGGCAGGCCGTGACTTTGCTCTGCTGGAGCGCGGTCGACCAAGTCTACTAGAACGCGGTCAACCGTGGAGCGCTGGCAGTCGTCCTGCTTGCATGCTAGCTCTGATGTAGTCATTGTTGCCTTGCTATTCCGTACTATTGTTGTCAATTTTCCTCAGTGAAACTCTTGCCAAACTCTCCCGTGAACTAGCAAGTAGTGTATGCACTGTTGGTGTAAGGGCCTGATCAACTCAAGGTATTAAGACTTTATCAAACTTAAAACCTCTCCTCGGGGTCACCTCCAAGGGTCCTTGGGTGCCTGGTACAAGACCAGCCCCTATCCTCGGGTCCGAGTTTGTAGAGAGAGGGATCAAGAGGGACTTAGTCAAAACAGCAAGAGTACCTTAAACGCCGCGCAGCGTATCGTGCAGACCGTCGATCGGATTAAGCTGAGAATTTCCTATATCGAAGCTCGCTCCAAGAGCTTTAAAATAAGCCAAGTTGCCTCGCGAAAAGTTCTGCCATTACAGAGTTATGGCTCGGACAGCGTTTGCCTAGTGTCGGAGTGCTAGCGTACTAGCGTTGACTCGGGTAGCATTCCGCCGTCGCACCGCGTAGAAACGAAATTCCAGGAAGGGAGGAATTCGCTTGAATCAAATTGACTATATCCAGGTACAAACTGAGAAGGAATAAATAGTTCTAGCTAGCAAGGACCTTGGGAATAAACCTGGGAACAACCAGGGATGATCCCAAATAATTCCAAGCAACAGAACCAACCTGGCTGGACAAAACAGCACGTGGTAGGTTGGTAAACAACCTCTGGTTCTGTTTTTCCAACCTGGGAAAACAACAACCAGGTTCAGGTCCTAAAAACAGAACCTGTTTTGTCTTTGCCCAACCAGCCAAATGCTGGTTCCGCTGGTTTCCCCTGGCCCTGTAGCATGCAGATACAGACAAACAACATCCAACCTTCACCTAAATTGTACCCCTATAGTGCCCGCCCTGCTACACTATAGTCAACCAAACAAAACAGTACAATTTCGAGTTGGATAGAACTGAATCTGCGCAATCAAGTAAGTTGAACCGCAAAGCTTCCATCTTGGGTTCCTTTGCGAGCTCGTCCTTTCTGCTTGTACTGTTCATAGCGCGTACAATGTTGTGCCGAAGCGCACATTGTGCGAGTACCTGCAAATGCATCAAGCGAAAATTGCAAAAGAAAACAACCACACGAACATTCCATCCACACCCAAATGCATTTGCACACGCATACTCGTACAAACAGACGGCAGGATGCCGTGCAATGTGAATTTGCACCCAACACACTCCCCCTCAGCCTGCCGGCTGCATCCCCATCATTCCATGCTAGTTCATGCTCATTCCACTCATGCGCATACAACGCCAATGAGGCTCATCCGCAAGCCTCTTGGTGAGGAAGTCTGCTGGCTGCTGGTGAGTCTTGATGTAGATCGGATTCACCGTCACCCTCTTCACCTCCTTACGCAGCCAGTGCCACTTGATACGCATCTGCTTGTTCAGCCCATGAAGCACAGCGTTCCTGGCCATCCCAAGAGCTCCCTTGCTATTACAAAACAGCGGCGTAGCAACCTTTTGCTCCTGGCCAATCTCCTCTAACAGCCTCCTCAGCCAAATCACCTCCTTCACCCCATGGAACATCGCCATGTACTCTGATTCCACGGAAGAGAGTGCCGTCTCCGTCTGCTTCTTTGACCTCCAACTAACAGGTCCTCCCCCAACTACGCAGATGTATCCTCCTACAGATGAGGAATCCTCCTTCTCAGAGGCCCACGTAGCATCGGTAAAGCAAGTGAGAAACAGCTTGCCTTCTCCAAGCCGCTCCCCCTTCTCTTTCAGCACCTCAACCCCTTTCTGCTTCACCTGTGCAGATGCGGAGTATTGAACTCCAATGCTTGGGTGAGAGTTCAAATACTTCACCACACGCTCAGCTGCATCCACCTGCTCCTCTAATGGATTCTGCACCACCCTAGCCAGCTGCCCAACTGAGAAAGAGATGTCGGGCCTCGTATGAACTGCTGCATACAAGAGGCTGCCCACCAAGGACTGAAATTGCTGCTGCTCCTCGGCTTCAACCCCTTCATCCTCTGCAGCCTTTTTAAGCTTGAATT